TTGAGACTAACCTAACTATTTTACAAAGCCAAGTATTATGGAAATATATTGATATTATATTAATAATTGTTTTTCGTTCGACGACTGACGTCTGACATGACATGTAATATTATTATGAAAATATATATAATAGAATATAATATAAAATTTGTCACTATTGTGAAAAAAAAATAACTTAGGTACTTATGAGGGACTCAAAAACATAATTTGTAATTTTACATTTTATATAGATTCAAAAAACAACTAACTAAATTCTTGAACCTCAATTAGCCCCCCCCCCTTGGTGTGTGATAAAACCCGCCCCTGTAACCACTTATTTCTAAGTTTAAAAATAGTTTTTAATGTAGACTTGTATTGTATATTCTTAAATTATCAGTATCTACCTATATCCAATATAAAATATAAATTGATTATTTTTTTTGTATAATATTATTTTAAAGTATTTTGAGATTAAATTCCTATGAAATATATCTTAATATATTTTTGTTTTACAATTTTTGGTGCTAATAAACTTTAAAATTTATTAAAATTACTCTTCATACAATAGGTAACCATAATTATTTACAATTAGGTAGGTATCTAGTTATTTATTAATATTGTATTACCTACATTATTTAAATTGAAACAAAGAAGTTAGAATTAGGTTCCATTTTGAAAAAAAGTTCAATCAAAATGATTCAAAATCAGATTGATATCACTATTGACCGTCTGAAAATTCATTTTTAATAATTTATTATGTACCTTGTTATGAAGCCTATTTATGTATTGTTAAAGCTATTTAATATATCTAATTGAGTTACATTTTTTTTTTCAGTATGGAAAATGCTTATTTATTGTCAGCTTTCAAGACGATATCCTTCTTATATGATGTCATAACATATCCTGTGTACTTAATATTACAACAGCCATGGAATAAGAAGTATAAGTCTAAGCAAATAAAAGTATGATTATCTATAAAAATATATACTAACATAATTTATCATTTATCTTAAGTAAGGTTTGGAAGTTATTGTATTAAAAAGCTCTGCAAATTGATTGCATTATTGTACTAAAAAATACTCTAAGTTGCACTTAAAAAATTGCTTTTAAAAATGTGTTTATTTTCATTAGAAAGTGACATTAGGCATAATTAAAAATAAAATATTTCAAAATTTAAATTTAACTAGTTTTTTTGAATTGAATAGTTGAATAATTCTTAGGTCATTTATTTGCTAAAATTTTATTGTTGTACAATATTATGTTTCATATTTCTTGTATAAMTTTAAGATCCTTCTTTTTATTATATTTTTAACAGGGCTTGAAATTGAAATAAAAATTTTCGATTTTAATTTCAATTTTGCTTATCGATATTAATATTTTCCGATTTCGATTTAAACATAATATATTGATTTTGTGATTTTATGATTTTTTTATTGATGCAGAATATC